GGTGTAGGCGTTTTAGATCGATAAGGGAGTGCGGAGGACGTAGGTCACGCTTAGGCGGTAATCATGGCATTCGTTAGTGGGTTATCAGAAGTGTCGAGGGGCTCGATAGCAATATTCACTACCAGACCAACCGCGGTGCAGTAAAATTTCGTTCCACATTTATTCATCTGTTACAAAGGGAAGGGCAACTTCGCTGAGCTCAGTCAGGGCTCGATATCGCTGACCCACGCGTTCGGGAAGCTAAAAGTGTAAGTGCCGGTCATAAATTAACTAGCAGCCTCGCTAGTCATCACTAAAACAGATCGGCTAGATATCAAATAAGTGGCCTACATGACGGGCGCTTTGGCGCTGAAAGCTAATGGAGACACTGGCATTGGTTGAGAAGTGGGAAGGGCGCGTAGGTAGGAAATCAGGTCTGATTGAAAGTATACAAAAACGGGGGGATGGAGCGGAAATTACTCCAACGAGATCAGTAAGGTTTACCATGGAAATAGGCAGATGAAATGGAAAAATGAGGTCAGTATAATAGAACATATACGGGCCTATAATCTGAAGAAAAAAATTAATGCTATGGGGCTGTTGATGCCAGATATGGAAAAAATAAACTACGAATTAGTGACGTGAAGAGAATCGCATTCTTTGAAATCGTGTCAGCTTAACAAACGACTTAAGCACATTAAAATGCGTCGTAACAGAGTGAACAGGCAGAACACGCATTTAGAACAAGTTAGGTTATTGTTTAAGATTAACAAACACTAAGAATAGCAGAAGGAATACTTGCTAAGTAGCAAGGTATCAATAAAATTCGTGCGTCTGCCCTTTGACGTTACGATCATTTTAATTTACTATCTGAGGGCTTCTACGACAGCCAAGGTAGGCCATCTTAACTGCAATTTGACCGTAGTAAGAACCCTTTCAGTTGGTGACGATTCCTTAAACTGCTCAAGATAACGACAAGTCCGTTATAATGGGTGCTGGTTTTAGTAATTACCTCACATTTAGTAATATCAAGTTTTATACGAATTTAGTTTTCAAGGCCTACGGCTTTTGGTTAGATTAGTTTGTAGGGCCAGAGGCCTCCAGTTGTTTGATTTTCACAAAATAAAAAACCGTTTTGGAGAAAACTTGTGATCATTTTCGTGTGTTCCTCATAATTTGCGCATTTGGTTTCAAAGCTGTTTCCTATTTGAAAAGGTTGTCAAAATCTCAATCTAATATATTTTCTTACCTTTCTGTAATTGCTCAAATCTGAACGAGATCAATTCAATTCAGGTTTCGGAAACTTACAATGCAAGACTTTTATCATTCCAACGGACTGTTTTAGTAACGTGAATGTATCAAAAAAACGCTCAAAGACGAACTTTACAGTTTCTGGCTAATCCCCTCGCAGCTGTGAAGATGTAAATCATCCTGTGGCCAAGGAATTAACCTTAAAAGATTATAGGCGTGAAATATCTTTTTTCACTAATAGCACTGCAAATACTTGTTCATAATTCCAGCCAAACTTTCTTTTACATACTTTAGACTTCCATAAATAACTTGTTTCTTAAAGCACTTGGCTTAGAATAGAAAGCGGGATTATGATAGGACCCTAATCTTTGGAGCAATTTTACTTATGAAGGCTCCGATCTGTGCCAAAAACATTTCTTATGAAACGATGTGGAAGATCGTTCAAAGGGTCAGCTCGTAAAAGAGTATTTTTTCAATTTCTTCAAATCAGCACGACCAGTGCTGTTAAATTTAAATGCCTGTTATTATTTGCATTTCTCCCCATTTTGAAGGCTCTTCTCTACAGATTAGATGATCTTTCATACACTTTCAGCAACACTTCACAGGAATTGATCACTTTACTTATACGTGTTTATCTTAATGACTTGTGTCTGATACCTCCGTCACGGTTTGCAACCAATTTTATTGTTCACAAGATTTTTCTTCTCTGGACATCATGGGAGATGCACAACACCGACCAAACTGCATATAGACGTTTAGATTTTTCTACTTTATTCGTAGTGACAACGTTAGCGTATAAACAACCTCCAGCGCCGGCGGAAGAAGACTTGACGGTCTACTGACACATGTCGCAATTGACAAAATAAGGTTTTGATTCGCATGATGTCCCATATACCACTCAAACGAAAATACTGGTTCTTTTTATTACAACTAAAAATAAGGGGCTTATTCTAATGAGAGTAACGACCCCCTAGAGGAGTTATGATAAACCTGTTCTATTTTATTCTTACTCAGATATCAATAAGGGCGCCGAGCGAGTATATCTTGCATTCTGAGTTTATTCCAGCTGCATTATTTTCTTGTGATTAATGAACTAAACGTCAAATTTCATTGTCATTTTAATCCCAAGAGGCCTAAAAAACTGTCATAGTTATCTATAAATGCTTACATGTGTGGGCATTTAATCGTTTTCAAAGGAACGTTTATATTGAATAGCAGGGCCTAGCCGAGCAGTCAGACGTCTGATCAAAAGGTCTTTTGATTTGGCCTTATTTTGTTATTTTTTAAGCTATTCTTTACGCCCTCTGTAGTGATGTACTTTAAACGTTGCCTAACTAAATGGAAATGCTGTATGTTAACCCCAGACGCCAGCCTCTCAAAAACTTGCTACGACTTGGCCGCCCCTCAGGAGGCGGTTACGCGCCAAGATTAAGGCGTTGCCGGCTTGTTCCACTGGGTACGGCCTGCATCATAGAAAATTCCCCGGCAACTAATGGGCAAAGCAATGCAAAAATAAGAAGGGGAGTGGATTTTACTCCCTTTTGGGCTAGAATAGACTTGCATTTTCGGGTCTAGCGTGCTCCCATATTATCCAATGGATGTGCAAACGTCAAACGACTTTTCTAGGGATCACACTGGAAGAAAAACCAGTCATGGGGAAGTTCATTTTGGCGGACAACTGGACATCGTTCTGCTTCAGCTTATGAAGGAGTGTGATAATGAATGACGCTGCGTATTTTCAAAAAGGTTGTCCGACTTGTGAAGATCCCATTCTAATTCCCCATTAGCGAAATTTCTCCTGCTTGCAAAAACTGTCATGATAGCGTGGAATAGAGCGTTATTCCTCAGGCCTGTTTAAAAATTATCGGGATACACAATAATCTCACGACAAAGGCCACAAGTCCTCTTTTCCACTCGTATTTGGTGAAAATCTTAGGTACACTTCCCAGTCTTTGCTGCGGTCGAATTATGTACGTTGTGCCTATGTCTCAAAACCTTTAACTCCATTTACACGCAATATACAAACTATCTTACGTCTGAGCGTAGCTCTCAATGTGGTTTACTTTGGCAGGTAGAATACCACGAAAAACCCAATAAATATTTTTGACACTAAAATGTATTCAAGGTTCTTGATTTTCACGGGAGCTCTGTCTGTTGGCTGGTTAAGAAAGGAATGACAATGGGTGTTGGAAAATTGAAAAGTCAAGGCCAAGAATATTTTATTTTCGGTTAACCTGTAGTCTGAAACATTTTTTCAGTAGACTAGGTGAAACTACTTTTCGTAAATGCGCATGTGGTCTACTGGGCCTATGCGGTGGGTGAATGTGCGTTAAAGTGAAAGAAAGTGAAGCGGATGCGTCGGGTGTATGCCGGCGCTGCAGGCACTGGTTCACCAGTCGGGATGTAGGGGTGTCCAGTTGTGGGTCTATATGGTGATCGTAGTATGTCGTTCGCTTGCTTGCAGGTCTGGACTACGCCCAGCGTCCATTTATTGACACTAAACTTTCACATGTGGCTCCCCAAAGTTAGGCTCTGCTTAACGGTCACAGCCCGGTAACCGCCTCGATCGGTGGATTAAGCCAGGTGAGTGTATCAATTGTGAATCTCCATACGCGATAACTCGGCTTCTCTTACAACATCGCCGACTGGATGGATTACCGCCTCAACTTCTCTGTAATGAGGCTCCAACTGCAACTCCGCAGTAAACCACATGGTAAGTGCCTCCTCAAGTAGGCCGATCATCGTTCCTTGTCTTTGTTTCTACTTATTTCTTGCTTGCATGCCTATGTCTGCTTGTTTTTGCTTATCCTTGTTCTAAGCTAACTACCGTTCAGCTGGACACCGCTATGCTTAATTTTTCTGCTCACCGATTATACTTCAGCGATCAGTTAGCTTAGAGAAGGACGGTAAAGCTCTGCTTCCCGTCTTTCTACCCTTCCCCATCCCCTCTCCCCTACCTTCGAAGTCCTACCGCGAGAGCGACAATGATCTCGTAGGCAGCTCAGTCTAACTCGGATCCTTCTCCCACTAAACAAGTTCATGGCCCATAGTGGAGTCTTGCAGCCGTCTGGGATGTCTGTGCAGCCATATTTAGGGGCAACACTTCCCATCCCGCGAGGGGGGCCGGGGCTATAAGAGGTGTTCTAAACAAATGCTGGGATAACGTCCTCTGTTCGCTGACCGCGCTGGCGGACGCAAAGCACACGGTCGAAACAATCAAACGAGAAACTATAACCTCTCTCTTCCGCCCCCTCCTGCCTGCTCGCCCATCCCACAGGCAGGTAGAATGAGTTCGCACGCTCTGGCAGCCTGGAATGTTCGTTTCCTTCTAAACCATCTAAGGAGCAAACGACCAAAACGAGGGACAGCGATAATGGCTCGGGAACTGACGAGCTACAAGGTGGACGTCGCCGCAATCAGCGAGATCCGTTTTTCCGAGCAAGGCCGACTGGAGGAGGTGCGTGCCGGTTATATCTTCTTCTGGAGCGGTCGCCCCAAAGCAGAGCGACGGGACGCGGACGTTGCCTTTGTAATCCGGAACGACATCGTGAAACCACTGTCCTATCTGCCACAGGGCTTCAACGACCGACTAATGGTCCTGTGCCTGCCTCTCCGGGGAGGCAAATTCGTCACCATCGTCGGTGTTTACATTCCCCTGATAACCAGCCCTGACGCCGCAAAGGACAAATTCTACGAGGACCTGCACGCCCTCCTGGCGACTGTGACTTAGGCGGATAAGTTGATTGTCCTTGTCAACTTCAACGTCTGTGTTGGAACATAGCTTGCTGCCTGAAGAGGACTGCTGGGTCCCCACGGTCTCGATGGCTCCAGTGACAATGCCCAACGCCTCCTACGAATCTGCGCAAAACATCGTCTCATCCCGGTCAACGCCTTCTTCCGCCTCCCGATGAGAGCAAATGCCACCTCAATGCACCTTAGGTCGCGACACTGGCACCTGCTGGACTACGACCTAGTCCGAAAACGAGACCAGTTGAGCGTGCTGGTGACAAAGTCGATCGTGAGTGCCGACGGGTGCATCGATCATGGTCTCGTCATCTCCATGATGCGGATTCGTCTACAGTCTCCCAAAAGACCTCTTGGTAAGCGACCCCCAGGTAAGTTGGATACTGCTTTGTCGTTCTTGCCTGCTTTCCATCTCCATTTCAGCAATGATCTAGCCTAATGGCATAGGAGGGCATAGTACCAAACTTTAACATAAGATCGTTGCAATTGTAAAGCGCAGGCAGCTCATGCTGTCTAATAACACCAACGGATGACGAATGGCTATTAATGCTTTCTGACCTAGATGTAATTGAGCCATGCCTAGATACAAGGGTCGAGAGCCTTCGCCAACCTGCAACTTTTGCTCTCATCTTCTTTGGAGGTAATATTCGACTAAGTAAACCTTCTGACAGATCCGATGGCCGCATTTAAGCGGGAGGTTAACGGTGTAAAGAGAATGTACAAGGTTAGAAATAGTTCGAATGCACAAAATACAAATTGCAAAATACGACTTGTCGTCAACAGGCAGAGTCCAGCAACACTCAAGTGGGAAGGGGCAGCCAATTGTTCTAAAAGACTAGGCCTCTGTTAAATGAACTTTACTCAAAAAAGCTAAAAGTCTTTAGGCTTCTTAGATAAATGACTTTAAATAATATCTCGTACTTATCTTCAAATTTGAAAACAACGGCTTGCTTGAGACCATAATTCAAAGCGATAGGCCAGTGTGCCGACAGGTTCGGTGTCGTCAGCTATATGAATGAGATAGTTCGGAGAAAAAACAGCTAATTGCCTTTCTCTACTTAAGTACTTGGACACGACTGAAATATTCATGAATTTGGTCTGATAAATTCTGTTCAAGAGTATTATTGCAAAACTCCTATTTGCCCGACATTAGGTTGAAGTATATATTTTACTCCTTACGGTCCTATACTTGGCGAACCTCCTTGGGTGTCTTGGATCTGAAATAGTTTGTCAAGGCTTGTTTAGTTTCCATCGGAAATTTCTAAGGCAAAGGTGATGTAATAGTTCAAGAAGTAACGCCAAGGTTTATCTCCCTCCTTTGTAACAGGTATGGCACATCATCGCCCTTCAGTTTGGGCTAGTAAACCTGGGAACTCACGTTTCTTTATATGCCCACATCACGTGCGTGGTTTTCGGGGCGGGCCTCCAAAGCGCAACCAATTATAAAATGAGGTGCTTGAGTTCATTTAAGTGCGCATCATGTGTTAAGCTGCGGGTACTAAACCACCAAAAGCAGGTGTGAGACCTGCTCAAAATTTAACTTGAGATCCCGCTAACGCATGTCGTCGTTCTAAGGGTTGAATTTAACTGAGGTGAATTAGGTCATTTTCCTGTCCGTTGGGTTGTTCGTCATTTTTTCCACATAATGGATTGATGGCGCTACAAGTTGGGGCAGTACATGTAACGCGTGCACGTTCCTTACGTAGGCCATCCTGTAGAAACAGTGGTACAAGCAAACATCCCTGGGTCTACGAATTTGGCTTGCCTACTAACAAGGCAGTATATGTCCTCGTATAGCATTTTATAGCACAATTTTGTGATCTCATTGATATAGTACAGAATGTTCAGTGAGGGCGTTCCTGTCTCTCAGGTCTATTGACTTATCTGGAGGTCTGCACAAATGTTTTAAAGGAGATTTCGAAGTACATGTGGTGTGTACTACTTTCCACAAATCCTTCAATAGTGTCCCATATCAGCGTTGTCTGTATAAACCGAGCACTCTTGGCAGCAGGGCAAAACTTTCGAACTGAATGAGTGCAAAACTTCTTGAAAGGATAACTTCTAAAGAAACTCTTGACTTCTGTCTAGTTAAGCGGCTTTTGAGTTTTTATCAGCATGTATTTTTACCTGAACGATCTTGCGAAACTTGCCATTTGGCATTTCATAAGCTAGTCACTTTTCTTCGTAATGAACAGCAGTCAGTGGTAGTTATCTACTTTGATCTTAGCAAAGCCTTTGACGAGTTGCCTCATAGACGTCTGATGGTAAAATTGGGATTTCTCGGCATTCGGCCTCCTCTACTCGCCTTCATCAGGTCCTATCTATCAAATCGATATCAGAAAGTCACGGTCGATAATTGCTACTCGACACCTCACACAATCACGAGTGATGTACTTCAAGGCACGGTTCTGGGTCCTCTACTCCTCCTTCTTTACACCAGAGATATTTCGACTGAAATCAGAAATTCGCAAACTTTTAATTATGCCGATCACCTGAAGTGTGTTTACTCATATTCTGAGCCCACCGCAAATGTCTGTGCTGAGACAATTAATGACGATTTACTACAGTTAGACAGATGGAGTTCAACCTGGCAGATGGATTTTTCATCATCCAAGTGTAGTTTCATGTCTTTTGGTCCTACCAATCTTCCTGGTCGCACAATTTTTCAAAATGACCCGCTTTCCGAATGCTTCACCATAAAGAACCTAGGTTTAAGTTATACAAATAAACTTGCTTTATCACATCGTGCTGATAGAATCTCTGCCAAAACCACGCGGACATGTGGTTCATATCGCATAATGTTTTCCGTCCGAAAATTAAGCTAAGGCTTTATTAAATGTTTGTTCTTCCTGTCCTCGAAAACTACTGTCCTTTCTTTGGTTTAATGAACGCCTGTGACCGTAATTAAATCGAAAATATTCAGAGAGTTTTAACCCGGAAACTGTTCTCTCAAGTAGCACGCGGTACTTTTTATACTCAGAGATGTCAGCTAGCAAACATTAAGTTTTTGTGGGTTAGAAGACTCGAAGTTGGCCTTTGCTTTCTTTTCGCATTAACTCTAGTTCTTATCTTCCGCTAATTTACACTCTCACTCGAGAGATCGGTTTTATGTCACGCGCAACTCCTCCATGGTGATTCCGCCGCATCTTTGCATTATATCTAAGCGCTCCCTCTTTTTTGCTTCCAAATATGCCTTCTTTTGGAATAATCATTCACCAGAAATTAGGTCATTGCCTAAGTTACCGTTATTCAATTCTAAATTACGCAAAACACCTTACACCGGAAAGTATAAAGGCAATTTTAACGGTCTCATTCTCGAACACTCAGCTTGCTGACTTTGAGAAGGGTCCTCCTGGATTTAGTGGTACATCAAGTGGAAACCCTCAGTTATATCATCAGAAGTCCTATTTTGAATCGGTTTCTATATCCACTGCTATCACTCCTCCCTCATAGCGACAATTTTCGCGGTTCTTGATGTCCTCTTTCTAATTTTTACTTGCTATGAAGTGACCCCAATGGGTCTTAAATAAATTTCTACTGCTTATTATTTATTTCTGGTTGCTCGAAAACGGCGCATCCTTATCGAAGAGGAGAAATTGAACTAGGTGACTACAACTTAGGGTGTTTCTCAAGACTCTGCTACCGGCCATTTACTTCATTCTCCGTGTTAATGACGGCCTTTGTTGCCGCGACTGCGGTATGATCATGTTTGTTGAGGAAGTTAAGCTCTGACAAGTTATTGAGGGTCCGAATAACCAAAACGTCCTTCACAATAAACTGCCAGACTGTCGTACTGGTCTAAGCGATGCCTTCTGGATTTCATCGTATTGAACTGTGCCATCCAGCATCTGCGTCCAAATAATTACCACCTGCAGTACAACACGAGAGATTATTACCTGAAATATATCCAACATCCCATAGAACCTCAACATAAACCGTCTTGCTATTTGAATGTACAGTAGTTTGAAACCATCATTTCAAACGTCAAGGCAGAAAAAACGCCATTGAGTCACCGCATGCCATCAGCAGAATGTTCATGGCTATTAATCAAGACCATTTTTGGAAAGCTTATAAGATAATAGACAATCTTCCGCAAGTACGGCTTTCTGGGGACATGTTTCCGAGACACCTTTAACCTCATCTTTGTGGGCACACAATGAAGATACGCAAAAACATGCCCAGGCTGAATCTTCAGTCTGAATTTGCCACACAACGGATTGAAGAATAATGAAACGCTCTTCCTGAATCAGTTGTAAAGTTAGAGTCCCTACAGTTCTTCAAGGAAGACTTCGATGCCCATATGTGCCCCTTGTTTTCCTTCTACATGATAAACTTGATTAAGGACCATGTGGGCTGGACACAGAAGTCTGCCTCAAAAACAATACCGTTTAGGTTATTCGAATACTGTTTCAGAATATATGCACGGATATCTTTCACTTCAGTTCAGTTCAGTTTTTTGAGGGAAAGAGGCGTAAGTCTTTGAGTACCCTATTTGCAATGTAAAAAGTGTGTGGCATGCATGAAAATATTCGTGTCTGAAATAGTTCAAACAAGCTCATCATGGTAGAACAAAATGGGAACGAGTTACAGGGAGTAAGCTCGACTTCTCATCGCTCTTCGTCATTTCGGAACATAAATATGTCAAGATTCTTTTTCAACTTTGTATAGATGGTGAAATCACGACATCTGCGGGAAGGTCATTCCATGGTTTGACCACTCGAACAGAGAAGGAGAGCTTCCGCACATCCAGCCTTGCCTGCTGAGTGCGCAGTTTTAACGGGTGACCTCGGAGGTTGGTCGTGGAAGCAAATTCAAAAAAGTCCTCGAGGGCCAGGCTGCAATCCGACTTTTATAATATGCGGAATGCTTGTAAGAAATCCCCGCGAAGTTGCCTGCAACTCAAAGGAAAGAGATTTAGATTTACTAGGCGGGTTGCATAAGGAAAGGAGCTTTGACCACTAACCATCTTCGTGGCTATCCTCCGGA